TTTTTTCCTAACCAAATGCATGTGCCCATTCTCTAAGCCCGAGGCCTTTCACAGGTGTATCAAACTAGTTTGTAGTAGGGAGCTCAACAAGCTGCCCATTGCTGTGGGAGTGTTAGCACTGTTTATAAAACATGGTTAGTTCTACCTTCATTAGTGTCATGTTAAATTCAAATTCATCGCCATCCTTGACTGCTACCATCTTGCCCTGATTTCCTAGATAACCTCCGTGGCACCTAAATCTTTACGACATCAGGACTCTTATGACCTCATTCATATCTCATAAGGTGAAAAGTGGAAGATGATTTTCCAGAGAAGCCTTGTCTAACTGACATCAGTATATGGTGGTTCTTTATGGCTCGTGCAACAATCCTTGACCTACTAGACTGATATTTGGATAATGTTAGTGATAGCTTCTCATAGCTAATGTTTCCTTGGGCTCCTTTTCTACAAAGGATATTTGCATGTTGCTGGATGGGGTTCTGAAGTAGGAATCTCCTACATAAACATCTTTTGGAGTGTTTGATCACTCTTACTGATGGCTTCTACTTCACTTTTTCATCTTAACAGCCTAGATAAATTGCTTCTTCAGGAAGAGATAGGGAGCCACGCGCGGTACACCTGTAATCTTAGCACTCTGGAAGACTGAGGCGGGAGGATCATTTGAGCTCAGGTGTTCGAGACCAGCCTGAGCAAGAGTGAGACTCTGTCTCTACTAAAAATAGAAAGAAATTAGCTGGACAAATAAATATACTTTCGAAAAAATTAGCCGAGCATGGTGGCACATGCCTGTAGTCCCGGCTACTCAGGAGGCTGAGGCAGGAGGATCACTTGAGCCCAGGAGTTTGAGGTTGCTGTGGGCTAGGCTGATGCCACAGCACTCTAGCCTGGGCAACAGAGCAAGACTCTGTCTAAAAAAAAAAAAAAAAAAAAAAGAAGAAGAGATGGGGGTTATTTAGTTCCCCAAGACCAAGAGACTACTAAGGCAGTCTAGTGGCTAAAGACTGTATTTACCTTCCACCTGATTCTGGCATATCTTGATCCAGTCTGACCTCACAGAGCTGAGCTCTAGTTAAATGTGGGAGGCCATTTTCCAAGAGAACTCAGTTCTTGGGATCCTTGCCTCTGTGCCCATTTCTGAAAAAAGCTGGTTTCAGTGTCCCCACTTGGGAGTGAGAATTGCTTGTGCATAAGTCTTTATTTGAGACTTGGAGGCTCTGTGTCAGGTCCTGGCATTCAGTAAGTGTATGCTGGACTACTACAGCCTGGAGCAACCGCTGAAAACCTGGAAACATAGTCTCCAATAAGCTAGATGTCTTTTTTGAACTGCTTTAGATTGACTGTCTCTAGTGTTTCAAGCACATAGAATTAGAATCCCTGATACACTGCAGGATAGTCATAATCTGAACAAATGGCTGATTTCCTGGAAAGATCTCTGAGATATCCTTTTAGCAGGCCAACACCAATAAAAAGAAACACATTGATGAGCACCTGACAGTGTTAAGAACGTATGAGAAGGAAATATCTCCTCTCAATACCAAAGAAATACCCATCATAATGGAAATGAGAACTTCTAGCTGGGGCTATTCAAATTGGTTTCTAGCTATAATTGACTACCTCCTTGCCGTTTATTCTCATCTCTGCCCTGTGTAATCTCACAAGACTCTGCCATCCACTTTGAGCTAAAGTAGCCTCCTTTATGTTACCTAAGATACCACTGCCAGTTCTAGGATTTGGTCCTCCAAAGTATGACTTTGAAGAGAGGTTCTAGGAACTTGCCTCACATGGGGTTCCAACAGGTAAGCTCAAGGAAGCCTCAGATTTCCCCACTTCTAGGGCGGTTTAGGGATGTTGGATTCTTAATAACTCCATTACCAGCCATTGTCTTAACACTGACACCATATAAAAGGCTAGCTCCTACAGCCTTCTGTTTCTCCTTTTGATCAACTATAATCAGCTTGACATTTAGAACCATCCCTTGTTTTTTAAATTCTCCTTTACATCAAAGTTGAATTTTAGTCCTTTACTTCACACTAGAAGCATTTATTAACACAGCCTTGAGTCAGATTTTATTAGAATTAAATAAGAGGAGTATTCATGGAAAGAGATCCACATGTATTGATTAGCAGCCAAGCTATCCTGGTCTATAAAGATGATGTTGAAGGTTTTGAAGGAAAACTTGATTAACTCTACAGATTATTGTAAAACTTCCATCAAAAGACTCCTAGTGATTTTTCCCCATTTCCAATGTCTGAGAAGTTTGTAAGAAAATGACTCGTATCTGTTTCATAGTATGCAAATTTAACTAGAGACTAGTTGAATTGTTTCTTGTGAATGGTGAATTAACTGAAGAAATAAAATTTTTAAAAAGTTGTTACTCTTTTTAAAATTAACGAATGCTTTGTTCTAGGTACAATAAAGGAGGTTAAGTAGTATATTCATCAAATTTTATAGCTAAAAGGATCTTTAGGGGCAGTGGTATGACAGAGATTCACACCGGCTCACAAGAGTTGACTATGTACACACTTTGCTAACTCCACATTCAGTGATAACATACTGAATTGATAAAAATCATTGAAATTGCCACAGTGGGAGGATTTATATCATGGAAATCAGAAAATGCTACAAATCAGGGTTCCCCATGGCCCCTCAGAGATGGTTGTTAAACATTTACCAGCTCACCACCGCATAGCGGTCACCTATAGAAGCATTTACTCAAGAACTCACAATTAGGCTGAGCGCGGTGGCTCACGCCTGTAGCCCTAGCACTCTGGGAGGCCAAGGCAGGTGGGTCACTCAAGGTCAGGAGTTCGAAACCAGCCTGAGCAAGAGCGAGACCCCGTCTCTACTAAAAATAGAAAGAAATTAATTGACCAACTAAAAATATATAGAAAAACTTAGCTGGGCATGGTGGCGCATGCCTGTAGTCCCAACTACTCAGGAGGCTGAGGCAGGAGGATCACTTGAGCCCAGGAGTTTGAGGTTGCTGTGAGCCAGGCTGACGCCACGACACTCCAGCTCAGGCAACAGAGTGAGACTCTTGTCTCCAAAAAAAAGAACTCACAATTAATTAGGTGACTTTAGGACTAAAACTCAACACTTTCATCCTCTTCCTAATATGCAATAAGATATCATCCTAACCCTTTGAATCCAGAATTTATACATCAGTAACATTAACAAAGCTGTAGTAAACTTTCTTTACTGCTATAGCGTCAATTTCCTTATCTATAAGATTGGGTTTTGATTTGATTTAGAAAATGTTTTGGCACTGACATTTTATAATAATTCCACAATTAAAAATAAGTCTACTAATGAGAGGAATATAAGGTATATTACTGCTTGTTATGGTTGATTTCAGTAGCCTCAAATGGGTCATTACTTTACCGCATGGAACAAGTTTTTGCTTGCTTGTTTTTAGGAGATGGGGTCTCATTCTGTCACCCAGGTGTAGTGTAGTGGCGTGATCATAGCTGACTGCAACTTCCCACTCCTGGGCTCAAGTGACCCTCCTGCCTCAGCCTCCCAAGTACCTCAGACTACAAGTACACACTACTATGTCTGGCTAATTTTTTAAAAATCTTTTTTTAGTAGCTGGGACTATAGGCATAAACCACCACACCTGGCTAATTTTTTAAATTTTTTTGTGGAGATGGGGTCTTGCCATGTCCAGGCTGGGCTCTAACTCCTGGGGTCAAGCAATCCTCCTGTCTCAGCCTCCCAAAGCACTGGTATTATAGGTGTGAGCTACTGTGTCCAGCTAGTACAGTTGTTTTAATAAGGTAACCAGATCTCTTTTCCTAGAGAAGACAATGTTTCCTAGTTCTCGCTGCTTTTACTCACTAATAAGGAATAACGGACCTTTTAAACATTAAAACTAGATCTTAGCTGTTGGGAGACCTTGGCAAAGTAAATACAATTTTACTATTTGCTTGAAGTGGATGAGGCCTGCTGTAGACCTTTTCTGTATCTCAGTAGATAAGGGGTGAGCACATTTTCCAAAACAGTCTTTCTCAAATCTTTATTTATTCCCTTTATTTGGGGCAGAAGGAATAATATTATTATAGTGGTTAAGAGTACAGACCACCTAGATTAGAATCCAAGCATCATGCTTAACTGTATATTTATATCTATGTATGACGTAGTACAAGATATTGAACTGTTCAGTTTCCTCATCTAAAAAGAGTATCATAGGCCGGGCGCGGTGGCTCACGCCTGTAATCCTAGCCCTTGGGAGGCCGAGGCGGGCGGATTGCTCAAGGTCAGGAGTTCAAAACCAGCCTGAGCAAGAGCGAGACCCCGTCTCTACTATAAATAGAAAGAAATTAATTGGCCAACTGATATATATATATAAAAATTAGCCGGGCATGGTGGCACATGCCTGTAGTCCCAGCTACTCGGGAGGCTGAGGCAGAAGGATCGCTCGAGCCCAGGAGTTTGAGGTTGCTGTGAGCTAGGCTGACGCCACGCCACTCACTCTAGCCTGGACAACAAAGCGAGACTCTGTCTCAAAAAAAAAAAAAAAAAAAAGAGTATCATAAAGTTTATATCTCATATTAAGGATCAAATGAATTAATATACACAATGCTTAGAATAGTCTGGCGTATAATTAAGTACCATTTAAGTATTTGCTATTTCTATTATTATTATTATGTAAGCATAATGATATTGACCTGGGTGACCTGGTCACTTGCATAAAATTTATTAGGACAGACCATTTAGGTGTCAGTAAACCTAGCAATCTTTCTCTAGTTCTGTGGCACTTCACCTCTCCCTGTCCCATGACAATCCAGATCCCAAACCCTGTCAGTAAGAGATAATATGATTTAGTCCTTTGTTCGTAGTAAGTCACCTCTGCAAAAATCTTTGAACTGAACTGATACAATAGTGAATTGAATGGAGTTATATTTAGAAGAATATTTAGGAGCTCCTTAATAGGAGTGAGTGGACAAATGATTTGGCATAATCTAATTTTTTCTACTTAGTAATCCTTTATCTCTTCTCAGAGAGAATGTTATGAATGGATCAACACATGCTCTTACCTCCTTTCGGATATTAAAGGCAGAAAAATTAAGTTGTTTACATATGAAGAAATAGAGCACCTACTTGGAGAAGAGGTATTTGCACTGGTTTACTTGAAGAATATGTTAGCACTGGTCCTTTATTTATGTTCTTCCTGTGTTTCAGTAAATAAGGTTCAGCAACTTTTTCCAAACAATGCTCTTAATCCTCATTCCTTTAACAGAAGAGAGTTTTGGTTCTGACCAAGAGTATTGACAGCTCTTCTCCCCTTTAAGGAAGAGAATCATCCACCCAAACACCTTTCCTCACTTTCTTAGCAGATGATTTTATAAAAGAAAGAATGGCTTTCAGGTGGGAGCTCCCTGCCACTTCCCTGAAGCAGACTTACTTGCTTACTTGCTCTCCCCCTTCTGCCTCCCTTCCACTCTCAGTCTTCCCACCCAAGGTTATTTCTTCTTTTGAGCACTTAATTCCATGTCCAGTGTCCTTTCTCTTTTGTATCTTTTTTTTTAATTTTTATTTTGCTGGAGGGATTTTTTTTTATTTCTGCATATTATGGGGGTACAAATGTTTAGGTTACGTGTGTTGCCCTCCCCCCCCCCGTCCGAGTCAGAGCTTCAACCGTGTCCATCCCTCAGAAGGTGCGTACTACACTCATTGTGTATGTATATATGCATCCCCTCCTCCCCCCTTCCATCTGCCCGATGCCCGATTGATGTTATTTCTATATGTGAACTTAAGTGTTGATCAGTGAAACCAATTTGATGGTGAGTACATGTGATGCTTATTTTTCCATTCTTGGGATACTTCACTTAGTAGAATGGGTTCCAGTCTCCTTTGTATCTTTAATGTCTTCCTCTCTAATAATTCCATTTTTATTAATCTTAAAACATCTAAAATGTGGTTGTTTCTCCCATCCTAAAAAATAATGTCCCTTGATCTTGTCTCCTTTTATACTACTACTTTTTTAAAAATTTTGTGTTTTGGATGTCTGAATCTCTGGTGGTACCAGGGAAGTTTTCCTCAATAATTCCCTTGAATAGGTTTTCCATGTTTTTTACTTTTTCTTCTTATCCTTCAGGGATACCTATAATTCGTGTTTTGGCTCACTTCACATAGTTTCAAATGTTTCTGTGTGATTTTCATTCTTTTTTATTCTTTTTTATGCATCTTTGACTGACTGGTTTAGTTCAAAAGCCTTGTCTTCAAGCTCTAAGACTCTTTCTTTTTCTTGGTTTGGCCTTTTGTTGAAGCTTTCTGATATATATTGAAATTCCCTAAATGCCTTTTCTTTTCTTTAAGTTTTGTTATATCCTTTGTTATGTTGCCTGCCTCTTTGGCAACTTTTCATTTTTTTCACTGATGCCCTGAAATATTTTTTTGGCTTCTTTGTGCTGGTTTTCAACTTTCTCTTCAACTGCATTCATCTTATTTGCCACCCATATTCTGAATTCCATTTTTGACATTTCAATAATTTCCTTTTAGTTGAGGTCCAGTGCTATGGATCTATTGTGATCCTTTGGGAGTGTCAAACTACTTGTTTTTTCCTGTTGCCAGAGTTCTTTTGGTGGTGTCTTCTCATCTGAAACCTCTTTTCTCAGCTCAGGGCAGATAGGTTTCTATTCTCTTTTGCTTGGAACTCTACTACTTAGTGAGAAGAAGGAGAGGTCCCTAGATGTGGTTTTTGTGGCCTGTTCCAGAAGACTGACCCAGCAGGATGGATGCACTGACAGCCTGTAATGTAGCTGTTCCCTGTTGTCCCATTCCCCCATGATTGTCACAGTCACAGCTGGTGGTGGATGATCTTCATGTGGAATGGTGGGTTGTTTCCCACGCCACTGTTGGAAGCTCACGTTGGGGCCTGGGTGAGTCCCTCTTCATGTAGGCTGGCATTACAGGAGATTGCTCTGCCTGGGTCTTGCCATGGGGGTGGCAGTAGTAATGACTGCTGGGCAAGGCTATCTAGGCAGTGGTTGCAGGGGTGTTGGGGCTGTGGGCATCCACTCCACCTGGGTCCAGGTGCAGTGGCGGTTCCTGGATAGTGATTCCTTGGCAGAGCTTTGGACCATGGGGGTTCCTACCAGTCAGCATGTGGGGACCATGGGAATATGACCAGGGTCCAGGTGACAGCACAAGTGCCACGGGGGCAGCGCCATGGGGCAGGGCGGCAGCATAGGAGTTTTAGGGGCGGCGGAGCAGTAGGACCTGATGGCAGTTCAGGAGTTGTATGGGTGGCACTGCAGGGCATAGCAGCAGCACAGAAGCTTAGAGGGTGGGGCTGCAGGGCCAAGCAGCAGTTTGGGAGCCTCGAGAGTAGGGCCGTAGGGCCAGCAGCAGCATGGGAGCCTTGGCAGCATGGCCATGGAACTGGGTGGCAGCATAGGAACCATGTCAAGGGGAGGGCATGGGGCAAGGGGCTGGGCAGCTGGGGCTTTCTCCCTGCCCATGTCCCACTGAGGCAGCCACCACAGTGTTTCTCAGGCAGGAGTTGGTGGTGGTACCCATTCCACTCCAGCCCCTGTGGGGTGGAGGTGTGCCCAGCTCCCAGTCACGGTGTGCACGAGTGCATTTGTTTTCCCTGCTCCCTCCCCAGCCAAGCTGGGGCCATGTGGAGGCATCTGCAGCAAAGCCGAGCCCTGTGTAGTCCAGATGCTCTGTGCCTAAGAGCTCAGAATAGTGTCAGTTGCAGCCACCCAGGAACGGAAGGTGCCGGGTCCCTGCTGGCCCACTCTCTGGTGCACTGTTGTAGCACAGACTCCACTCAGCTCTTTGATCAGTCTAAAGGTCTGCAGTGGTTGTGGGCCCCTCACAGCTTGGCTCGCAGTGTCCACAGGGGGACATGGAGCCTCAGGGTTCTATCCTCCTATTTTTCCCTACATGTGGATGCCTCCCCTAGGTACCTTTCAGTCTTGCCAAGTGGATCACCCCCTCACCCTCTCCTTCACTCTGAGTGTGCTCCATTGCTTCTCTGATGATTCACCATGCTCTCTCCAAGAAGTACCATCTGTAGGTGAGCATCTACTTGCAACTTTGGGTCCTCTCCTTGAGAGTGGTGTGTGCGAGCTGCTTCTATTCCGCCATCTTGCTCTTGCTCAGTCACTATTTGAGTAAACTCCTTTGAGGCATTCAATACTGTTAACTTCTCTGTTCTCTTTTGGTTTTCCCAGTAGCTCTCTCACACTTCTGAGGCACGTTTGGCCTCCTTTGCTGGTTCCTCTTTCTTCCCTGGTGCTTTATGTGACTACAATCCTATCTCGAGGTCTAGTCCTCTTGCTACTTCACATGTTTGCTTTTGGGATATAATTTACTTTCTTAACTCTAAACTAAATGCAGATAACTGTCTAATCTCTATCTTTACCCCAAATCCCTCCATCTAAACTCCAGATCCATATATTCGGATCCATTAATATATGGCTTCATATTAGATATTTCCACTTGGGTATCTCAGTGGTACCTCAAACTCACACAGCCTAATTTGAACTCATCCCTCTCCCCAAACCTGCTTATCTAACTTTGTTCATTATCTTTGGAAATGACACCATCATCTATCTAGTGGCCTAAACCATAAACCATATGTCATTAAAAATGCACCCTTTCCCAACCATCACATGTCTAAGAGTTACCTCTTAAATAGCTCTTTAATCCTCATCCTAGTCATTCCCACAACTTCTGTGTGGTTCATTCCCTCCTTGTGTTTGCTTCTCTCCCTTTTTTCTTCTCTCTCCCCTCTCCTTCCTCCCTCCTGTCCTTCCTCATCTTTAAATATACTCTCTTATTGCTTGAGTGATTGTTTAAAATGCAAAGCAGATCAATCAATTTATTGATGCCTTCAGAATAAAAACCAGCCTCCCTGGCATAACAATCAAGTCTTTCCCCTATGACTGTGCCCTGTTCATTTGCCTCTCAGTTTCTGTCCTATCGAACTATTAATAATTTTATTCTCAGAACCAGTCATATACATAAGAACATTTTCTGCCTAGGAGTCCTTTATGCCTTCTTCTTTCCCTTCTTAATCCTTCAAGAAGAAACTCAGACATTATCTCCTTCAGGAAATATTCCTGACCAACTTCTTCTTTCACCCCTGTCCATTACCTGATCTAGGTTAGGTGCTCTTACCATGGGACTGTATGCATCCATAGCATTTTCTTGTCCATGAAATTGTAAGTTTCTTAAGGGCAAGGAGAATTCTTATTAACCTTTGTATCATTACCACTAGCACAGTACCCAGTTATAGGGTTAGTGCTCATTAAATATTTTTGAATGAATAATTATTATTTATATATACTAAACTATGATTATATTATTTCATTTCACAGGAAGCTATAAAATTATTCATTGAGCCTGAAATAGACATGTCTTTTAAAGAGGATGAAGAAGAAAGTGACGAGGATAGGAAACTTGAGGAGGAAAATGAAGAAGAGAAAGCAGAAGAGGTAAGATTATTTAGTAGTATTTTTTCCTTTCTCTTTATCTTTCTGAAGTACACACCCACACACACACTGGAAAATAGAAGTAGGTCATCTGGGCTGGGCACAGTGGCGCATGCCTGTAATCCCAGCACTTTGGGAGGCTGAGGTGGGAGGATTGCTTGAGCCTAGGAGTTTGAGACCAGCCTGGACAACATAGTGAGACCCTGTCTCTACTAAAAAAGATTTTTAAAAAGTTAGCCGGACATGGTGGTGCATGCCCGTAGTCTGACCTACTTGGGAGGCTGAGGCAGGAGGATCGCTTGTGCCTGGGAGTAGAAGATTACAGTGAGCTATATGAAGCCACTGTACTCCAGCATGGGTGACAGAGTAAGAACTTGCCTCAAAAAAAAAAAAAAAAAAAAAGAAAGAAAAGAATAAAAGAGATCATCTGGAATGAACTCTTCAATTGCATTTAGTTTTCCTCATATAGATTTAACCATACCTGCAGACATACTTATCTTTGTCATTTTATTTTCCTTTCTAAATCCAGCCATTTCCCTTTAGTCTCTTCTCATCTATATTCCTATTAACTACACAATCTACTTCTCACCCTGGTGCTATTTTTTTTATCCCTTCATTGCCATATTTTTCAAATAGTAGTTTAAAACTCCATATATTTACTTCTTTAGCACCCATTCTGCACTGTCTGTCCTGGTCAGTCTCCACACCTCTCCTTCCCTTACTCTGTCTTCACACCTGCTGGGATATTTGTAATAATAACAGCACTTCTGGGGGCATTTTAAAAATAATTATAGTAAAATAATAACTACCAATAATTGAGTGCCTATCATGAGCAATAGTCTCTGCTCATGTCATTTCTTATCTACACAACACAGCTTTGGTGTATGTATTATTGCCCCCATTTTACAGATAAGAAAACAGAAGCTCAGAAAGGTTGAGTGACTTACCCAAATTCATACAGCTATATGTGGCAGAACCAACATTCAAACTCCGATAAGTCTGGCATAAAAGCCCTTGCTAATTCCTAGATTGACCACCACTACCTTTGGCTTCCAGAACTCATGATTGCCTAACACTCTCTACAATGTCTTAGTTTACATCCCTGATGTGTTCCTTCTTTGCATAGAGTTTAAATGTTGAGCATGATCCCAGGCTCTGTCCAAGGCCTTCTACTCACTGTACAGGCTGGACAACAGAACAAAAAAATTGTGCAACACCCAAGCCTCTTTTGACCAGCATTTTCTGTTTTATTTCTGATAAAGTGCTTGGTATATAGAAGGCACAGAATAAATGGAAACCACGATTATTATTATTATTATTATTGTCATTCTTGTCTGTGGAATTAGTTCAGGCCTTTTCTTCTCTATTATACAAGCACCTGTTCAGCCTTCAAATATCATTTTCTTCATGAACGCTTCCTGAAGTGTTTAGGCAGAATACAGGGCCCTTTTCTGGGTGCACATAGCCCTTGAAATGCACCTGAATGCTAACAGTAATCACGTTGTACCATGCTTATTCCTTCTGTTATCTCTTCCCCTGGTGTACTGTGAGTTCCTAGAGTCTGGGAGAAATACTCTTTGTTTTTCCCATAGTTATGGCCCCTTATCCCCACTCTCTCATCTCCATCCATTTCCCATAGTGTTTGCTGTATATAAGTCTTCAAAAATGCTCGTTGAGTGATTAAGACAAATAGAATATTAAAGTTTCTGACATGGTGTGAGGTGACTTGATGTGCCACTGTGTCACACACTGGCTCACTAACAGACCTTTGGTGTTTCTCTGCTCCAGCAACTTTCAACATCTACAGAGAAGGAAAAACTCATTCGATTCATTGGAGAAGACGAAAATATTCATCCCAAACCTCTATTACGTACAGATGAGTTGTCTTCCTGGGTATGTATTTGAACCCAACTAGAAAATTCAAAATTATTTAACAGTATATGAAAAGTCTATGGCTCTAACATAACTTTTAGCCCTTCCAAGAGGACCAGGAGCTCCTAAGTAATGTATTTTACATATTTTTTCTTCCAGCATAATCCTGGAAAACTCTTATTTTTTTTACCTTAACTGTACAAAAACCTCTTATTCTCAAGAATCTTTAAATCTCAATTTAATATCACTATTTCATCCCTTTACTTAGTTTTACAATCTCTTGGTCAATATTTGAGCAATTTTTTTTTCTTTTATTTCATCATATTATAGAGGTACAAATATTGTTAGGGTTACAAATATTGCCCCTATCCCCCCTCACTCCCCCTGATGTGTCCAATCCATACACCCCTTTCTTCCTCCCCTCTCCCGCCTGCCCACCACCTGATAAAAAGGTTTTTTTTTTTGACATTTTGGTTACATTGTATATCTTTGCCTCTCCCTAAGAAGGGTTAGAGTTATGCCCTTCCCCTCCAAAATGCTCACCACATCCCTAAGATTAGTGAATCTTAAGGATGAACCCTTGAATCCCTGGTGAGCATGGCCACCATTTGAAAACCATGGTTTTAATCAGTCAGTACCAATTTGATGGAGAGTAGATGTAGAGCCCATTTTCCTGGTCTTGTGTCACCTCACTTTGGATAACGGGCTTAAGCTTAATCCAGGATAGCATAAACGGTGCTAGCTCACCGTCATTTCTTAGGATTGAGTAATACTCCACATTTTAATTATCCACTCATGAATTGATGGGCACTTGGGTTGTTTCCATGACTGTGCAATAGTGAATTGTGCTGCTATAAACATTTGTGTGCAGATGTCTTTATAATAGAATGTCTTATGCTCTTTTGGGTAGATGCCCAACAATGCTATTGCAGGGTTGAATGGTATTTCTATTTCTAGCTGTTTGAGGTATCTCCAAATTCTTTTCCACAAAGGTTGCACTAATTTGCAGTCCCACCAGCAGTGTAGGAGAGTTCTCTGTCTCTCCGCATCCTCGCCAGCATTTGTTGTTTTGGGATTTCTTGATATAGGCCATTCTCACTGGGGTTAGGTGGTATCTCATTGTGGTTTTGATTTGCATTTCTCTAATAATTAGAGAAGTTGAGCATTTCTTTATATGTTTGCATGCCATTATTCTGTCTTCTTTGGAGAAGTTTCTGTTCATTTCCATTGCCCATTTCTTGATGGGGATTGTTCGATTTTTTCTTGTTTATTCTTTTAAGTTCTAGATAGATTCTTGTTATTAGGCCTTTATCAGAGGTGTAGAGAACAAATATTTTCTCCCACTCTGTGGGTTGTTTATTTGCTCTACTGATAGTTTCCTTGGCTGTGCAGAAACTTTTTAATTTGATCAGATCCCATTTGTTTATTTTTTTTTATTTTTTATTTTTTTTGAGACAGAGTCTCACTTTGTTGCCCAGGCTAGAGTGAGTGCCGTGGCGTCAGCCTAGCTCGCAGCAACCTCAAACTCCTGGGCTCAAGCAATCCTCCTGCCTCAGCCTCCCGAGTAGCTGGGACTACAGGCATGCGCCACCATGCCCGGCTAATTTTTTGTATATATATTTTTAGTTGGTCAATTAATTTATTTCTATTTTTGGTAGAGACGGGGTCTCGCTCAGGCTGGTTTCGAACTCCTGACCTTGAGCAATCCGCCCGCCTCGGCCTCCCAAAGTGCTAGGATTACAGGCGTGAGCCACCACTCACGGCTATTTGTTTATTTTTGATGGGGCGGTGATTGCCTTGGGGGTCTTCCTCAAAAATTCTTTGCCAAGGCCAATGTCTGATAGGGTTTTCCCAACATCTTCTTCTAGGATTCTTAAGGTTTCGTGCCTTAAGTTTAAGTCTGTTACCCATCTTGAGTGAATTTTTGTGAGAGTTGAGAGGTAGGTATCCTGATTCGCTCTTCTGCATGTAGCTAACCAGTTTTCCCAGCACCATTTATTGAAGAGAGATTCTTTCCCCCAATGTATATTTTTGTCAGCTTTGTCAAAGATTAGATTACCGTATACTGATGGTTTCATCTCTGGTATCTCAGATCTATTCCAGATATCTATGCTTCTGTTCTTGTGCCAGTACCATGCTGATTTAACTATTATTGCTTTATAGTTCAGTTTGAAGTCAGGAAGACTGATGCCTCCCAGTTTGTTCTTTTTATTTAAGATTGCTTTGGCTATATGAGGTTTTTTTCTGGTTCCATATGAAGTGAATAATTATTTTTTCTAGATCTGTAAACAATGCTGGTGGTATTTTGATAGGGATTGCATTGATTCTGTAGATCACTTTTGGTAATATTGACATTTTAACTATATTGATTGTACCAATCCATGAACAAGGTAGATTTTTCCATCTGTTTAAATATTCTGCAATTTCTTTTTTTAGTGTTTCGTAGTTCTCCTTGTATAAATCTTTTGTATCTCTCGTTAAGTATACTCCTAGATATTTAACTTTCTTTGGGGCTATAGTAAAGGGTATTGCGTTTTTGATTTGAGTTGCTGCTTGATGGTTCTTGGCATATATGAAAGCTTCTGATTTGTGTATATTGATTTTATTACCTGAAACTTTACCAAATTCAGTTATCAAGTCTAGGAGTCTCTTGGAAGAGTCCATGGGGTTTTCTAGGTATAATATCATATCATCAGCGAAGAGCGAGAGTTTGATTTCATCTACCCCTACTTGAATGCCCTTAATACCCCTCTCCTGTCTGATTGCTATCACTAGGACTTCAAGCACTATGTTGAATAGGAGAGGAGATAGTGGGCACCCTTGTCTAGTTCCAGATCGAAGGGGGAAAGATTTCAATTTTTCTCCATTTAGAATGATGTTAGCAGTGGGTTTATCATAGATGGATTTGATAAGTTTAAGGTATGAGCCATCTATGCCTATTTTGTTAAGAGTTTTTATCATAAAGGTATGTTGGACCTTGTCAAATACTTTTTCTGCATCTATTGACAGAATCATATGGTCTTTGTTCTTGATTTTATTTATGAAGTGAATTGCATTTATAGACTTGTGTATGTTGAAACATCCTTGCATCTCTGGAATAAAGTCCACCTGGTCATGGTGAATTATTTTTTTGATGTGCTGCTGAATTCTATTCGCTAAAATTTTATTTAGGATTTTTGCATCTGTATTCATGAGGGATATAGGTCTGTAATTTTCTTTTTTTGTTGTGTCCTTTCCTGGCTTTGGTATCAAGGTGATATTGGCTTCGTAGAATGAGTTAGGAAGGATACCATCTTTCTCAATGGTGTGGAATAATTTCTGTAGTATAGGTATGAGTTAATCTTTGTATGTTTGGTAGAACTCTGAAGTGTAGCCATCTGGCCCAGGACTTTTCCGTTTGGGCAGGTTTTTAATTACTGCTTCAATTTCCGAGCTTGAGATTGGAATGTTTAGGAATTCTGTTGCCTCCTGCGTGATCTTAGGGAGGTTGTATGAATCCAAGAATTTGTCCATTTCATCTTCGTTCTGTAGTTTTTGGACATATAGTTTTTTATAATAGTCAAATATAATGTTTTGTATTTCTTTGGTATCTGTTGTGATCTCTCCTCTTTCATTTCTTATTGAGTTTATTACAGTCCTTTCCCTTTGGGTCCTTGTCAATCTAGCAAGAGGGCCATCGATTTTGTTTATCTTTTCAAAAAACCAGCTTCTTGTTTTGTTGATTTTTAGTATAGTTCTCTTGTTCTCCATTTCATTCATTTCTGCTTTGATCTTTGTTATTTCTTTTCTTCTATTAGGATTGGAAATTGTTTGCTCTTCTTTTTCCAATTCCTTGAGCTTATTCATTAGGTTGTCAGTATCTAAGTTTTCTGTTTTTTGGATGTGAGTGTTAATTGCTATTAGTTTTCCTCTCAGGTAAGCTTTTGCTGTATCCCACAGGTTTTGATAAGAGGTATCACCGTTATCATTTTGTTTGAAAAAATTCTCGATTTCCCTCTGAATTTCTTCCTTTACCCAATAATTTTTCAATAATAGATTGTTTAGTTTCCACAATTTTGTGAGGGGTTGAGTGTTTCTATAGGAATCAAACTGTAATTTTATACCGTTATGGTCAGAGAAGATACAAGGTATAATTTCTATTTTCTTGAATTTTTTGAGATCTGATTTGCAGCCTAGGATGTGATCAATTTTGCAGTAGAATCCATGGGCTGCTGAAAAGAATGTAAATTCAAGTTTGTTTGGATGGAATGCTCTATAGAGATCTGTCAGACCTTTTTGATCAAGGGCTTTATTCAGGTCTATTATTTCTTTGCTTATTTTCTGTTTGGAGGATCTATCCAGATCATTCAATGGAGTGTTGAAGTCCCCTGCTACTATGGTAGTGTTATGTAACAAGGTGTTTATATTAGACAAGGTTTGCTTTAAGTAATTGGGTGCTCCTGTATTGGATGCATAGATATTAAGAATTGTTAAATCTTCTTGTTGGATCTTCCCTTTCACCATTATATAATGGCCATCTTTATCCTTTTTTACTTTTTCTATTTTAAAGCTTATATTATCTGCAAATAGTATAGCTACTTCAGCTTTCTTTTGACTTCTGTTTGACTGGATGATAGTTTTTCATCCCTTGACCTTCAGCTGGCAGGCATCTTTGTGGGTTAGATATGTTTCCTGTAGACAACAGATGCTAGGTTTGTGAATTTTTATCCACTCTGCCAGTCTATGTCTTTTCAGAGGGCAGTTTAAGCCATTTACATTTATTGAGAGGATTGAAATTGGAGGAAGATTACCATTCATATTGTTGGGTGGAGTCTTGTTGCTTTGTCTTACTCCTTGGGCCATCATTTAGTTCGAGATCTAAACTTTAATTCTTTGACAATTTCACTTTGAGGAGTGTCTACTGCCCTGTTCGGTTAGAAATGCAGGTCTAAGAACTTCCTGTAGGTATGGTCTGGTCTTTGCAAATTCCTTCAGTGATTGTTTGTCTGAGAAGGACTTTATTTCTCCCTCATAGATGAAAC